CCGGCTGCCGCCTCCTCGCCGGGCAGGCGCCGCTCTGCCCATGCCCCGGGCACGCCCCAGCGCTTCTTCATCACTCGCGGGCAGCAGGCGCTCCGCTCTCCGGGCCCCCCCTCTGCCAAGATGTGACTCTGTTACGCCCGCTTCAGTATCCGGCAGGAGCTGACCCGGGTTACAGGCATCCCCTTGCCGTGTGGCTTAGGATTCGGCTCCCTCCCGGCCTCCAACATCTCTGTCATTGCTGCATTCCTGCGAGCAGAAAGGGAGTCCTGTAGCGTCAGGGCACAGGACTGCATCTTCAGCAGGGATAAAGAAAAGAGGTGAATGGGAATTCTGGTATGGGAGAGCCGGCTTTTGGCTGTTCTATCCCTGCCCTGGGCAAGCCTGCAGCAGGTGGAGATGCTCAAAGTACTTGCTGGGAAGGACAGGCTTCCCTGCCCAGAACAGCTTTATCCCAGGCAGCAGAAGCATCCTGGCAGCAGGAGTGAGGCCATGACACCCAGCAGCACCCAACCCCCCCTCCCCCCGAACGCTGGCAGTGTGTCACCCCATGTCACGTCTGCTTGTTGCATACCGCAGCAAGGCGGTGGCAGAGAGCAGCTCAGCTCCACCCCATGCTACCTTAATTTCTTCAGGTTGGGCACAAAGGGCTGAGTTGAGGGATCATGAAACAAGCAGGCTGGCAGAGCTCAAAGGTCCCCACACCCTCCTGGTGCCTGCCTGCTCTCCTGACAGATCAGAGTCCAGCTCCATCCCGGTCCATAAAAGTACAGAGCAGCGTGATCCAACAGCTGTTCATCCCTGCAGTGTTATCTACCGCACAGACGTGACTGTGCCTCATCACAGCAATGGCCACCAGCCTTACCATGAACCACAGTGCAGAAGAAATGCAGACTTCAGCCTTGCTCTTACCTGCAGTAACCACAGCCAGGAAGGTCCTGGGCCCTCCCTTTGCAGCCATGTCACCCTGTACCACTGTTTTGCAAAGCTGCTGCAAAGGGTTGAGCCAGTTAATACTCTGAGTCACATCTGTGACACTACTTCGTGTGCAAGACATGGCAGGGCCGATCCCTGCCTCACCTCCAGCTGCCTCTCACAACACCAGTCTTCACTGCTGTTTAGAATCACAGAATCGTTTAGACTGGGAAAAACCTCTAAGTTCATAGAGTCCAAGTGTTAACCCAGCATTGCCATGTTTATCACTAAACCATGTCCACAAGTGTCACATCCACTATTTAACCCAACAGAAGGACACAGGAGCCCCAGCCTGACCAGAGAAATCACCAGGAAGGCCAGGAGCAGTTAGTTCATTCATTTTATTTTAGATCCTACATGAGGTAGGGACAGACAGAACCTGTCAAACTACTAAGCGTTTGTCATACTTCAGGGTATTAGGAGCTTAACAAGAACGGCTAGATTACATGTGCGTTATTAATCACCTGTAACTATTTGATGACAATCCAGCAAGTTGAAGGCACGAGACAGCAAGTGGTTACATGGAGCCATGACAACATCAGTCCCTCCCCCAGCTCACCTCTATCCAACCTGTAGAGCTGCAGCTCTGGCTCATGGAGATGCTCCTCAGAGGCACAGAGACACCAGCACCTTCCTTAGGATGGCACTGGATTGAAAATCAATCTCCACTGATTTGAGACTGGCTGTTGGGGTGGGCACATGCAGCCACTGGTTCCTGATGCTCAGGAGGACTCTCTCACCCCAGGCCACATGCAGCAGGACTCCAGGGCAGGGGCACTTGATTTGTGCCTTGTCAAACACGATAGGAGACAGTTCCTACCCACAGCTTTAGAGATCAGAGAAGAAACTTGACGCAGCACTGACATAACACCTATTTTGGGCCCCTAAGACTGGCCAGAGTTGAGCCAGGCTGACCTTTTCCACAATTCGCTGGGTTGCCGCAGCAGAAATTCGGTCTGTGATTTGCTTTATAACACTGCAGAGGAGAGGACATCCGGGCCAGCTCCCAGCTCCCCCTTCCCAGCTTACCTCTGCACAGCTAACTGAACAGCACAATCCGTGGGTTATCTTGGCATCATTCCACAGCAGACATGTTTTTCCAGACCCTCTGACCATGCACCAAACAATCTCACTGCTGCAATGGGCTCCTCCTCCCTACTCGAAGGGTTTTCACAGGTCTCTCCACCCCAGTACACCACCACAGCCAACTGCTGCAATTTCCAATAAGGTGGTAACACAAAATAGACAGTAAAACAATGGTTTATATGGTAAAAAAATATTTTTCTCAGTATGCTTGCAGGAGACTGTTCTGGGTGATCACCTCTCTACTAGAGCCGGGGTACTGTTACTGTTACTACAAGTATCTTTTAAACAGAAATCCCTATCACCAGCTAGATCCTTTCCCCCGAGTTCCAGCAAACCCTTGGGCAGCACTCAGTGGCAGGAAATAAGAGTTCAGATGCTAAAATACCTTGATGGAAAGAAGAGTAGAGAAATGCAGGAAATGTGGGAAAAACTAGTTGATAACTCCATAGTTATTAAGTGCTTCAGGTTAGGGAGGGCCTAGATATAAAGCCAGCAGGATGAGACTGAAAGGCTGATCACAGTGCCCAGGGCTGTACAAGAAGTCTTGGGCACCTCCAATGACAGAGGTGCCACAATGCTTCTAGGAAAGGATCCCACCACTTCAGCCAGGTTCTGCTCTCAACATCACCTTGCACAGCAGCTCTCTCCTCATCATGGAAGTGTGGGGCTGTGTACATGGATAATCAGAGGGAATAGAACTGTCTAAACACATCTCAGTGAGAAACCTGAAGTGTTCTGAACCTGAAGTGTTCTGGGGAAGTGTTCTGGGTATAGCTCCATAATTACCTGTTACCCTCCTTCAGCTGCAGTTTCTTCCAAGGGCAGGGGAGCCAGAGGTGCTTTCTCCCCCACAACTGATCACCCCAAGCAGCCCTACCTGGCTCCTAACATGCCCATTCCCACAGGTGACATCAGCTCACCTTCCACCAAGACTAGGGCCATCTTATCCATCCCACCCTGAACTACTTACCAAACAACCCCTGCCCAGCAATGAAGAGAGGAGTCTATTTTATTGCTGTTTCTAATTCTGCTCAGTAAATAATGTGGCCTCCTGCTGATCTCCAGTAGAGACGAGTGGGCAAGGTTGAGAAAAGCAGTATCAATTTCATCCCAATGTTAGTCTCTTTTTGGATGGCTCATTTCAAATCCCAACTCACTGCTGCAGGCTTCTTCCTCAACACTCCTGACTGAGGGCAAGCCAGCAGATCAAAGTCCTTTCACCAGCTTACTCATGCCCATTTAAAATAGACACCCTAGGAAGTGACTCAGCCACCAGCACGGAAAAGTATCGCACTGGCTCTGCCCCTGCTCCCATCCATACTGGTGGTTGAAATCAACCACAAAGCCACAGAGATCAATTCTCAGACAACTCTAGGATTTACAAAAGACCTCCTCCAGCAGACAGGACTTCACACCCACCCAGCAGGGCATGGAAGGCCCTGCTGCAGGCAAGGGCTGTTGTAAACAGCTTCCCCATTCACCCTGTGCTCTCCACTCACCATGATACAGGAGATGGCAGCACATGCTCCTTCCTGGTCCTACATCCCTTATAGTAACAACCCTCCTCGGCAGACCTGGGAATACTTGTTTCAAAAGAAACTCGTGAAAGGAAGGACTTTGTTTACAACTGGAAGTGATTTCTGGATGACAGACTCATTCAACAGAGGAGAAAAAGCCGTGAAACATTAAGACAGGATAAATCTTAACTCACAGCATCAGCCCCGCTCCAGTGCAGCCCCATTGACTCTGTGACTCAAAGTAGTAGAGGTCCAACAGACCACACAGGCTGAAGATGGAGCTCAGAGTATAAATGTAGACTAACATCTAGCAGCTCCCAGTGCTAGGCAATGACTGGACTTACCCAGAGCTGGGAAGGGCCACAATATTTTAAAGAAAGTTGCAAAGGTTTCATTGGCCATTCCTCACTCACATAGCATGTGTTCATCTGCTCAAGGAGCTCCAACATTTGGTACCCAGTTTCTACACTGTCCTAGGGCAAATGCTTTTCCTGTTCACCTGAAACCTCCCATGACCTTTCCCATGGACGAGTGGGGGAGCAGAGCCTGGCACTGCCATGCCTGCTACTGCTTTAACCTCTGCAGTCTGGAAGATGAACTTGGCCCTGATGGCAGATCTCCATGAGAACTAGAATAGATTATATTTTATTATATATATTGTATTATATATATTGTAATACTGGCATTCAGGGGTAAAATGAGGCTCAAAGAGCCTGGGAGAGCAGCTGCCAGGCCACTAGCATGCTGAATGCAGAACTGAAAGAAAAAACGGAAAGCAGATAGTTCCCACCCACTGTGAGGGAGCAGCTTCCCCAGCAGTCACTGTACAAGAGATGCCAGGAATGGCAGGAACTCAGATTTTGTGTGATGTTCAAGCATGGGAGTCCCTTTGGAAGCACCCATAGTCCTGCTGTGCAGGTCTGTTATGACACCTGCTGGCCAAAGGCACCCCTGCAGCACCTGACACCAGCCTGCTCCGTTCTTCTTAATCCTAATAATCTAGTTGAATTGATCTAATAATCTCAATGATCAGTTGAAGGATCTAATTTCCATTGACCTCATGTGAGAGCAGGAACAAGGTAACAGAGGGTGGTCAGGACACTGAGCATCTTGGCCACCCCAAAATAATCTCAGCAGCAGCTCACAGTTCTCTGTCCTGTGCTGTAAGCTGCTGTGCAGTTTTGTCTTCTTACCCCACTTTTGTTTGAGCAAAGTGCAGCCTGGAAGGAGCAAGCATTGTGGAGCTACAAGAGGACATGGAGAAGAAACTTATTACAAAAGCCTACCAGGCCTTTCTGAGGCATGAGGGCTCAGCCAGGGTTCCATCATTGCAATCACATTTACAATCCAAGCTAGCTCCCACCCTGCTAAAGACCCAACCCTTTATGTCCACTGCTGGGAGCCAGACTTCACACCTATATATTTATTATATATACACATCCCGTGGGGACAAGGGAATGCTTCCATTGCATGGTTTTCTTGAACAATTGTCCATGCTGCTTGGTCAGGCTGCAACGTCACTCTTCCCATGGACTCATATCTGTGTCAATGGCCACGCAGTTATAGGCAGCATAGCGCAACTTCTCTTCACATACCTTGGCTCTAGGGATGACAGGAAGGAAAAAAAAAAGATAAGGAGGAGCTGCTATTGCTGCATTTGCCAGTTGAGAAGACAAGATGTTTTCTGAAATGGATATGTTTCACCAGGGGCTCACAGAGCAGCCACGTGGGACAGGCAGGGAATATAAGTGTGGCAAAGTGATGGGGCCCAATCAGGTTAAGAAGAGAGCCCACACACAGTCCCCCCCCTCAGACACAGGGAAGCATCAAAACTTACGTAGCATAGTTGGGCAAGAAGAGGGTGCTGGAGCAGGTGGATGACTCCGGCAAAGCATCTGTTGTCTCTGAGCTGAAGAAGGTGACACTCTGATTAGAACCAGAAGGCCAGGGAGCCCAGACAACCCACCCCTTTGGTGTGGGATTTGTCAGCCTTGCAGTCTACAGAAGAATGGACTTACCCCATCTTGTCTGGATAGATGTAGATCCGGGCTGGTAGGCGACTTCTGCCAGTGACAAATCTGAGGAAGCGACTGCGATCCTCTGTGAAGGAAAAGCAAAGACATCAGGAAACCCTAGAGGGATGTGAGATGCAGTACAGCTGCTTCCAGGTATCCCCAGCACTAGAGAGCAGTCCCTTCAGCCTAGCTGCTTGCTTTCCTTCAGTAGTTTCCCTCCCAGCCAGCAGGCAGGAGCTGTCATGGCACAACATATGCATGGACAGAGCTAATTGCTCACCATTGGTGAAGTTATTGAGTGCTTCCCAAAAGTACTGAACACGAGTATCCTGTGGCTCAAAGTCCTCAAACCGGGCTGTCAGAAAGGACACAGAAAAGGAGTTTCATAAAGGTGTGAGCTCCTCACTCTTTGGCAGTGGGTGTCTGCAGGGTGTGACCATGTAGACCCAAGGTGCAAGGAACATATATAGACAGGCCCCTCCCAAGAAACACAGCCAGATCCACATCTCAGCTCCACAGGGGCTCAGACACTGGCAGCTTAGGGATGCCCCAGCCTCTACTGTGAGGCCCAGGAATGAAGTCAAAGGACTGTCCCCATCAACACCCAGCTAAAGGTAAGAAGTACACAGGACCATATTCTCACTGTAAGAAAGGCTAATACTGGCCTCTCACACTTCTCCTTGTGCCAGCACAGACAGATGACAGTCTTGTTTTCAGGAAGAGAGTTTTCAGCAAAACCCTTCACTTACTGAGCCTCTTCAGGGCATCAACTGTGACTTCAGGGTCCCCACAGACCTTTTTTTCAAGCTCCTGCCATGTAAGGAGGTCAAGAACAGCTTGGGGCACCACCTTCAGCAGCCCAGCCTGCATGGCCATGATCTGAAAAGGAGACAATGCAGTTAAGCAGCATGTCTTGCCCATTACTCTGACTCAAGGTTGAGCCTAGGGACTCTAATGGATTCAAGCCATGTGACTGCTCAGCACATGCTCCAAAGAACCTGAAGAAACGGGACACAATCCCAGAGAGATTCAGAAACCTGTGACAGATCTGTGAATAAAATCCATGATCACCCATGCCACTAGAAGCCACTTTGCTTTTCAACAATTCCATAGGCTCCAGGACCCCACCGAAAGGGTTGGATACCATTGCCCTAATGAGCACAGGGACACTAACCACAGTGCATTTTACCAGAAACAAGCCAGGGGCAGGTCTCTGGGAGCCAATGACCACCCACAGGGTGGGACAGTGTCACCTGCTCCTTGCTCTCCTCCAGCCGAGCCTTTTGCACCAGGCGGATGAACTCCTTGCGGTCCTCGTAGCGCACAGCGGTGTTGCTGCCGTTGGGGATCAGCTCCACCATGCGCTGGTCACTCAGCACTGTCGTGTAGGTCAGCTCATTCCCAAATTTGAATTCAAAGGTGTCTTTATCCATGACTTCCATCACCTCCAGGAGCTTCACCTGTCCAGGCACCAAGTAAGTGTATGTTAGAGAGATGGACAGAGAGCAGTGATGTGCCCAAGTCCTCATCTTCTCCCCAGACAAGTGACAGTGACACAACATGGGATATGCTGCCCTAAAGCTGTTTAGCAGACCTTGAGCCATTCCATGCTTGAAGCAGCAGTCAGCATGGCTGCATCTCTATAACAGCATTTGCTACTTCTTTACAGCTAAAAGTTGTCCTTTGTCGTCTTTATTTGACATATCATAGTAGGAAGCAAGTGCATGAGGAGAGGAACACAAATCAGCACCTTGCTGAGTGCTACAAGGAATAGGATAGGCACAGCCTCCCAGTCCCTCTCACCAACACGGAGTCCACAGCAGGAAAGTCTTTGCTCCAGCTGACCTCTTCCCCTGTTAATTGTTTCCATACAAAGCCAGGAAGAGCCAGGACCTGAAGAAGAAAAGAGATTTTATTGACTCTGTGTCAAAGTAAGACCTCCCCAAAGATGGAGATAGGTCTCAACAATGCAGATACAAAGAGGCTTCCCTACTTCCCCCTCCACATGCAGAGCTCATTGTAGCTGAGTAGAGACCAAACACTATCTCCCAAGTTCTTAGAAGCATCCCCCAAAACTCAGGCTGTGAGTTCTCCAAACTGCTTGGCCCCAAACACGTCTTGTCCCAGCATGTGACCACAGAGCCTTTCCATACTCCTGTTAGACAGGCTGCAGGAGACTTTTGTTGCAGGCAGCAACTCTTCTCAGAGGCATGGGATTGAAAACTTACCAGAAACTCCTTGCCCCTCAGAGCAGCTCCCATGATCTGCCCAATCCACTCGTACTTTGGGAAGTCTTTACAGGAGGGGTTGGGGACATACATGTCCCTAGCTTCTCCAGTGCCATTACCCTGGAGTGAGAGGCAAAACTCGAAGTCATAATTTCAGCATAGCATGAAACACCACAGACTACTCCTGCCATGCCTCTGGGCACTTCTCACAGCAGAAGTGGGCTAAACTCTCCATCCCCCTTGGCAATATTCCCAGTGAGAGACTGGTAGCCAGGCACTTGTCAGCATATTCTAAAATGAAATGCCACAAAGCAAACTACCCAAGCCCTCACAAAGAAAAGCTTTGGACACAGAAAAGTAGGTATGTCCCTGGCATGCAAGGGGACAGGGACAGTGCTGCACTGCCAGGAATGGAAGGGTTTGCCCCAAACATCCCAACACACAGCACCTGGTTGGATGTGCGCACGAAGAAGGGCAGAGGCACAGGGGTGTCTGCTGAGCTGGGGCACAGCTCTTCTGACATGTCTGCTAGGCTGTCCCGAAAACCACCACCTGCAACCCCAAAAGAAGGGCATTTTTAGTGATGTGAACTCCCCATGTGCTGATCCTCAGAGTTATGGAGCAAACATGAGGATTTCTGGTCCAACCTGACCCTGGGTTGAGCGGAAGGCTCCTGTTAGAGCCTTAGGACATTGGAGTAAGTAAGACAAGAGAAATAACATCCCTGCCTGGCCTGTGGAGAACAGCCAGAAGGATCACTGGCCCTGGTAAAGCTGCAGTTAGTGGCTAATGGAAGTCTGGTCCACATTCCAGCACTCTTTATCTGGGACATAGCCAGGGGTGGCAGGACAAGGCAACCTGCTTTCCTTCTCTCCTCCATGGGAATTAACACTGGGACTGAACAAAAGTACCTACAACAACAGTCACCTTATCAACCCCCAACTGCTCCAGAGGAGCTCTGCAACCCATACCTTGGTCGATGATGCCCTCTGCGACAAATTTGCACTCCCACCACTGGTCATAACGCAACGGCCACCTGTGGAGAACCAGGTATCACCTGAGGTGCTGCTCAAAGCCAAGGAGGTGCTGGGACAGGCACAGTAGGGACATCAAGGGACTAGGGTAGAACAGTCTGAGTTAAGGACAGGACAAGATCTCAATCTCCAGAGACAACTGCATCTTCAGTAGGGAGGTGACACCTTGGGGGACGGGCCCTGATCCCATGGCTGAGCTGGCTCCTGTCCTAGCTAAACCTCTCCAGAGTACAGGACATGGGCTTCCCAAACACCCTGTTGTGACAGGCCATAGCTCCCAGCACTGCATAATGCCTTCCCTCCCCAGTATGCTTACCTATAATCTAGAGGTTTTTCAAACTTGTCTGAAGGTTTCAGGCCTTCATATACCTGCAACAAGCAGAGATAGTTAAGGTTGGCATCCCCTCTCCAGGGGAACTGGTGCCACATGAAGGCAGGTACATCAAACACATCAAGTCTCACAGCAATTTGGGGTGCTTGTGCACACATACAGAGTCCCAAATCTATTGGAGGTGGGGAGAGAGTGGACACAGGAAGATCAGCATTGCTGTAAACCACAACACAGAACTGTATGCAGCTACTTGATTGTTGTCACACAGTAAAGAATTCTTTACTGCCTTTTTAGTGCAACAGGATTGTTACACACTCCATTAACAACATGCCACAGAGAGCATCCAGGATAGAGTATAGATTTCAACTCAGAGATCCCAAATCCCTCCTAGATGTTATTCCTGGATACGGGACCATCAGCACATGTAATTGTAGAGCCTGTGAGTCATGTGAAGAGGCCTTGAAGGCTTGGTCAATCTCCAACTCTAAGCTGTCCCTTCCACCCACCCATCCTAATGCAGATAATTTTGATTTTGGGATGCTCGTCTCTCCCCAGTACAGCAGGGTCCCTTGCAGGAGGGACAGTACCTGGGTGAAGACAGCATTCTTGCAGCTGGGGTCCAGGGCAGGGTTGTCCCGGTGCTCCATGGCCAGGCGTCGGTTAATGTAGAGCCTTGGCATGAAGTTGGGCTTGCTGGTCTCTGAGTCCTTCAGACACTGGGTAATGAGAGCTGTGCGCTTCTTGGACAACAGCAAGAACTGCTTGATGTGCTGCCAACAGGGATGCACAAAACATGTCACCTACTGTCTGCTGAAGTAGCCTGCCATCACATCTCCAGGTTTTTCCCTTTCCCAGGGCCTTCACACACAGACACATTCTCATTGACAGTATTTACTCCCCTTCTGCCTCTGAAACATTCTGCATTCTGGCTTAAGGCAGATAACAAGCTCAGCCCTCAAGCCACCAGCTGTCATCTGATGCTCACATTTCAGTGTTGCTTAGACTCCCCTTTACCCTCACTCTCACCAGAACACTGGTCTTACTATCCCTTTTAGCTGTAATCAAAGCCATCTCCTCTAAACAAACAAAAATCCTCAAATGTTTTGGGTCCCATGTTGACCTGGCACAGGAATTACAGTGCATTCTGACACAAGGCTTCTAAAACAAACGGAATGGGGCTATCCTGGTAATGTCCAGCATGTGTATTCTTGGAGAGAAAGGAAAGCAGACAACTAGAGGGATGAACTCAGCACTATGCAAAGGATGAAAAGCAAAAGCTTATTAAAGCCAGGAAAAATGTTACTGGTAAAAGCCTTGATGTTTGGACAAGCCAGCTCAAAGCTGCTGGCAGGAAGTGCAAGAACAGAGCGTCCTGGGCTGAGATCTTGGAGGGGAATGTGCATCCAGCTTGCATGCCCAGTGCTGCTATGATCCAAGCTCCTTTGAAGGTGAAATGTTCTGGTTTGAGCCCACTTGTTAGCCCACAGCTACATGCTTCTACATCAGCAGTTTAGTAGGAAAATAAACAATATCACCTTTCACAGAGTTAGTGACCTAAGCTCAGAAAGGTATTTCCCTGCTTTAAAGGCAACAAGCCTGCCTCCTCTGCCACAGCAGGAGCACCATCACCCTGCCAGACTGAGGCCCCAACAAGACACAGAGCCAACTGCTCACCTTGAGTTTGCTGAACGTGCCAACAGTGTGGTCCCAGGCTGGCACCAAGTGATGCAGGACACTGTCCAGGAGCTTGATGAATCTAAATCCCAAAGATATTGCAACAAGGAGTGATGGGGATCTGCACAAGCCTGTTCCAGACCACACCACAAGCAGAAAAAAACCTGATCCAAACCAAACCCAGAATAGTTTTTTACATCATGTAGCATCTGATACTAAATTCCCATTCCTTGGGCACTGCAGGGATTTTGTATCCCTTACAAGCAACTCTGCATATACCTGACCCTGATGCTGTACATATATGTTGTGCCTGTGACACACAAGACACTGTGAACTTGAGCTACAGATCTCCTGTGAAAGCATAAGAGAGCCACCCTAGACGTTTGTTTTGTTTTTTATTCCCAAATGACTCCTATTTTCTCCAGTGTCCAGGATGTCTGTCTCAAGAGGAGTGTCATAGTTTTACAGCCTCCTCTTATGCTGGAGATGGCATCAGTCCCTGCAGGCAATGGCACCTGCCTGCTCCCCTCCACACAGTACCTTTGAATGAGCACAGCCCTTCGGTACAGCAGGTCAGGGTCAGTCCCTTCTAGGCGAGGGTAACGCACCAAATTGGGCAACTGGAACATGTCAGCACTGAGTCCCAAGTCCCTCTGCCGCGAGGATTTGATTTTGATGCCTCGGATACGAACATCAATCCCATCGTCTGCCAAGAAAGACCATGGATGATATGCCAAGATCACAAGAAAGCAAGCCTTAAATAAAGTATAGGAGATCAATAAGCAAAAACAGTAGGAATGTACCAGCTCCACCAGCTCTGGGGCTGGGCACCCAGCCTCAAATACCTCTGTGAAGAAAAAGCAGGGCATTTACAGGAGAAAAATAATTAAATAATTGAAGGCAGAGAAAAATACGATGAAAGCTGAGAACTTGCAAAACTTCAGATCTCCCAGGAGTTTCCCATGGCTCTTTTGAATCTCATCTAAAACAGCCCACAAGGAGAAGAAGAACAAATAACAGAATAAACTCTTAATGTACAGTATTTTAGAGATGCATTATGGATGTGGCCACAACAGCCAGCCCTACCTCTGCACTCCACAATCCGGATCTCGATGACAGGCAGGTGTGTTGTCATGTCCTCAAGGATGCACACATCCCCAATATAGCTCCTGCAAACAGAGCACAGATGAGAACTGAAGGGCTGTTCCCTCACCCATCCTACCAAAATCAACTCGGACATTTTTAAGGGAAGATGGTTTGCATCTTTTGAAATGGGAGCCTATGGCAAGAACTCAGTTCTTGCTTACAATACAGCTGAATGCCTGCTGGTGAGTCAGGTCCAGGTACTATGATTTTGATGTGTTTCACAACTGGATGAGGAGAGCCCTGATGACCATACCATGCTATTGTAGGCAGAGTGAACCTGCATCCCAGAGAGCCTGGCTGATGCTGCTTGAGTGCTTCAGGCCAATGTTCAGCACCTTGGGCCCCTGCAAGAGCCAGGACACCCTGTGCACCTCCACCCACTCACTCATCAATGCCGACATCGTTGAGTTTCTTCAGATTGTCCCCCTCGCCCCCATACACAGCAACCCGCTTGGGCATGAAGTTCTCATCAGTGGTATCCACTGTCAGCAGCAGCTTCCTGCAAAGGGAAGCAGGACATTAAGGAGAAGGCAACTGTATCAGAACACCTATTGCTACTCCCTCTCATCACTTGGTCATGTTGTTACTAAGCTGGGATTCCCAGGTACCTGTGACAAGGCTAAAACCCCTTCAAGCCCAGAGCCAGAGTAAGGGCTGAGGGGCAGGGAGCACAGGCAAATTTGGGCCACAACACTCAGGCAGAGAGGGAATGGCTAAGCTTGCCCCAGTCACTAGCCAGAATGTAGAGCAGAGATGACTGTAGAGCAGACGGAGATGACTCACTTGACAATGGTGCCTTTCTTCATGTTGAGCCGCACCCAGTGCTGGCCCTGGGACCCATCACTCTCCCAGTATGTGTCGGCATGGCTGTCTGTCAGGCAGGACACATTGAAGTCCTCCTGGAAGAGGGCAAGTGAATGAAGATCAGATGGGTGTAGGATTAACTTCTCCTTAGTAGTTACTTTCATCATGAATCTTAATGTCAGAGGGCATCACATTGGCCTGTTCCCTTTGCTGGGTTGTACCCTTTGGTGGGTAGACACCAGGAGTGCAGCGGACACAGAACACTAGGGCTGATCCACCGAGTATCAAATGCCCCCCTAAAATCAGCTTTGCAAGTAATATTAGCACTGGCTTCTCAAACCACTGCTTTTCCAGGGGATACATTACACAACATGCTGCATGACACTTCCCAGGCTTTTCTCCCACATCCTCAAACAGAGTCCAGTCCAGGCCAGAGCAGCACAGCAAGCACTATCCACGCTTCCCAGCCCCACAGCATCAGCGGGGCTGATGTAGCTTTGTCCCTTTAACCCACCGTGTAGGACGAGACATCGATGCTGTCCACGTACTGCTTAACGCTGCCCAAGTTCTCATCCTCCTTCCCAATGTGGTCATATAAGAAATGCACCAGGTCTTCATCACATTCGTAAGTCCATGTTGGGGGCACAAACCTAGCAGGGAAAAGGGATTACCGGGTCTGGAGAGCCAGAGGCAACCAGGCTAATGGGTCAAAAAAGGAAGGTCCATATCCTGCTTGTCTTGCTCCGTTTCCTGCTTTTTGCAGGCATATCTAGAACAAGACTGTGCTGTGCAGAGCTGCCTGTCTTCCCCCCTCTCCCCCAGGTCTGCAAGAGACAGCTGTCCAGGCAGCCACAAGAGACAGAAGCTTGTCCCTCACCACTGTCCCAGCAGGAGTCAGGAAACAGTCATACCGAAGCTTCTCTACTGCAGCCTCATCCTGCTCCATGGGCCTGGGTTTTGCTCCGAGGCGCAGGGAGTATGTCAGATCCACCACCTGCTCCCATCTGAAACAACACAGAGAAGTGGAGTGAGAAGCTGGTGATCGAGGAGTAGCTGTAAGGGGAAGACTGGGATTTAAAGCCCCACCATGCTTAATCCTCCATCACCTTCAGCATCATCTGCTGTGCTTTCCTTTCCAATCATGTCTACTCCTTCCACATCCCGCTGGGCATGTGACAAGCACAGTGCCCGAGCCAAACCCAGACCACTCCACATCCGGCATCCCTCTTGCCTCACTTCCATGAAACCTGTCCAAGCAGACCGGGGGTTCCCTAGCCCGAGGCAGGAGGGGCCGTGGGCCAGATCCCGAGCCCGCACAGAGGTGAGCACCTCCGCGCTCCCGGGGACCCAGCGGGACACCGCGGCCCCACACCTGATGACGGGCTTGTAATCCACTCCGAACAGCTGCTGCTGCCGCTGGATCCGCTCCGTGGACTCCACGGGCACCAG